AAAATAATGGAAGTCATACATTATGTACATTACATGATGTGAAAAGTCGCTATAAAATGGTGAAAAACCAATGAAATTTATATAAGCGTGTCATTGAAAGTATGTGTTTTTTTTGCTTCCGTATATCGGATTCTTCAAACACTCGCTTATGTAAATTTGGGTTTTCACTAAAATTTTAAGTACTTCGAATATGTTATTTGTAGTGACTATTATACATCTCTTTCCTCACTTTTAACTGGGGTTTTATTTTTTCACATTTTTAGATGTGATTAAGATGTCATTTGTAAGGTATGACATCAATTATTTTATTTTCTGCGTTATCGTTAATTTTTTGCGTTATCGTATACGAATACACAAGCATACTTTTTATTTTTAAATAAATTCAGTACTGTACAAGCAAAGGTTTTTTCAAAAAAAAAAAACATAGTAAAGTGGTTTCCCGGTTTAACGTATACTCAATTTAGAGAATTCGGGATTTAACGATTTTACAAATGAATGAGTAAATTTTGTACTCGATATAACGAATTTCAAAACAATTTTTTATAAAAAGTGGTAAAATAATACAAAAAGAGCACTAAATTATTATCCAATGCTATTAAAATTAAGATTCTAAATCCAACTGGATGGGTACATAGTATTTGAAATCTACAAATTCAAAAAAATCTTCCAATAGAAATGAAAATTACGTATAAAAAACTAGAGTTCTATAGTTCTATGGTGTGGTAAAGTCCACTTTTATAGTTTTGGATGTTTGATTTTCTGCTTCTAGATTCAATATTATTAAAAGTACATTTTGAAGAACGAAAAATTACCAAAAGTCCCTTTTTATAAGTTCTCATTTACTTCAATATTATTGAAAATGCAGAAAGTACCTTTTGAAGAACGAAAAAGTATCAAAAAGTGCCCTTTTATTTGTTCGCACTTAGTCCGGGCTCTCCATGATTAATTTCATGGTGCACCAAAAAGTTCCTTTTATATGTTCTAAGGGTATATGTATATAAGTTTATCATTCCGTTTGCAATTTCTCCAATATAATTATCCGACCCCATAAAGTATATTTATTCTGGATCCTTATACATAGCAGAGTTGATTTAGCCATGTTCGCCTGTGTGTATGTTGAAATTAGTTTTCTCAGTGCATGCTGAAAAAGAAATAATAAACAAGCAACACACATAACGTTAAATTTTGATATGTAATTATGTACTTGTTTATAAAAACAAAGCAGAGAACGAACAACGTAACGTACGTTGTTATCGCTAGAAACATGAAATTAAGTATGTAGAGCCCGGATTAAGTGAGAACCTATAAAAGGGCACTTTTCGTTATCCAAAAGGTATTTTTTGAATTTTCTATAATATTGAACCTAGAACCATGAAATTAAGCAGAGCCCGGATTATGTGAGAACCTAAAAAGGGGACTTTTTGGTACTTTTTCGTTCTTCAAATTTCTATAAAATTTTTTATAATATTGAACATAGAAGTATAAAATGATGCATGTAGAGCCCGGAGTAAGTGAGAACATATAAAAGGGGACTTTCTGGTACTTTTTCGTTTTACAACTGGAATTTTTTAATTTTATTTTTTTAACACATCATGGTGAAGGACATATAAGATTGGGAACATCCGAATATAGAACTCTTACTTGTTAATGTTTAATGTAATTTCGACCTTCACATTTTTTTCCGAAATCCTTAAAATTCTAATCGCAGGTAATGCTAATATGTGAGAGATATTACATAATTTTTTACTATTAAAGTCCCTTTTTATTGTCCATAAATCAAATTCAAATTTTAAAATTTAAAATTGTAACCGCTTATGGCCTATAAGCTAGGTTACTGAATATTGTTAAATAAATAAAAAAAAATAAAAATTTGCTTAACAAAATTGTTAAAAGTTTGAACCAGGAGTTTTGAAACTCCCGTCCGAAGGGTTTCCCATATATGACTATACCTCAAATACTGTTTACGCTATCGAGGATAAAAACTCACATTTAAGCTAATACAAATATATTTAATGTAATGACATTATTTTTAAGAATATTTCTCAAAATTTGTTCAGTTTTTTTAAATATTTCTCACTTAATTGTTTTGTGACACTAAATGATCTGAGGAATTTGCAATAAATTTTACATTTTTTGACAGATTTTTGTTTTTTATATCTTACTGGAACGATAATTGAAATATATATATATTCCAATTATTTGCTGTTAAAATCCAAAAATATAAATCAAGTTGTAAAATTTTTGCAAAAATTATTTTTAACATCAAAGCTGTGGTGCCACTAATTGGGCTATTACACTTTTTTTATATTAATCAGTAATATTTTTTGTATGATTAAAAATATATGATTGAAATGTGTAGACGAGTCTGATGTTAATCGTTTAATGCCTCAGAAAATGTGCAAAAAAATCTAACATAAAATTCTGTTAAATTTCTAAGGAAAATTTAGACATTCGTTAAAAATTCTGATAAAAAATAAGAATTTCTGACTTCAGACATGTCTGAAAAAAATGTTTACAGGGATATTTCTAAAAAGGTATTTGTTTGGCTGTCTAGGTTGCTTGTTCTGTAGTTTGTAGATTGTCGGTACGTATTTTAATTTTTCTCTTTTTATTTTCTCTGACTTGGTTTGATCGTGTGTAAGTATTACGTGATATTGTCTCTCATCGCCACTTGCATTGTTTGTGGTTAAAGGAATATTGTTCTGTTCTTGTGTACACAATTTACATTTGAATTCCAAAACTTGAATTAGGAAGAAATATATTTAAGATTTGATGTAAAATAATAAAAACGATTAAACTTCAAAAATATTTAGGTTTCTTTTAAAATTTTTCTCTAAGTCGCATTTTATTTGTGTATGAGATATTCTCTTACTGCTTACAATTGGAAATGGTGTTGATGTTGTAGCTGTGATTTTAGTTAATTTTCAATTCTTGTGGTTCACTATTATTGAATTTATTTTAACAAAACTTATGCAAGTCAATGAGTTTCGAATAAATAGATAGAAGTCGACCTTTAATGTAACTTTAAATAAAAAATTGAACTCGAATAAATGCGTATTTGGTTTTCGGTTTGGTATTATTTGTAATTAAGTTTGAATTTGTATTTAAACGTAAAAGTCAGCTTTTGGTTGCAAAAAATAATTGAAATATATTTCAAATGCCCGGAGCAGTTAAAATTCTATTAAAAGATTAAAAATGTTTTTTATTTATTCAATTAAATTTCTTTATACTTGCTCAGGAAATGTGAATAAATTTGAGAGAGTTTTGTAAATATCGTCACCTGAAACGCAAACGGCCCTAACTAACCAAAAATTCAAAATCGATTTTATTGTTGATTCTAATGTATTGCATCAAAACAAATGTCCACACCAAAAATTTAACTGCTACGACCATAATTATCGATTTTATTAACAAAAAACATTTTTATATACGGCATTGTCAACTATCATAACAAATGATATGTTTCACTATTAAACAATTTGTTTATTTACTACAAATAAATCGCGTTGATAGAAACAAACTTTTCAATTTAAATAGTTTTATGCTTCTCCTGTAAAATTTTAAAAATGTTAGATAGGGCCGTTTGCGTTCTAGGTGACGATATGTATGTATATGTATGTATATATTTATAACTTAAATATATTTAAAATGTATATAATTTGTGTGCGCTTTTGACTAGGTTTGTTTACTCGGTTTTAAAACGAGTAAAATTATGTGATTTCAATTTAGAAAACTCCAAACAATTTTAATTCTTTTTCAAACGAGAATTTTTCTCTGATTCGGTTTACAGACTAGACACGAATGTTTAAATGTTACTTAAAAATAGTCATTACATACATTTAATTACCGAATAAGTTTATGAAATATTTAACAAACATATCATATAGAGTGCATATTAGTTTACTTATACTTCATAAAATGATTATAATTAAATTATTTCTTATGAGCAAATATCAAATTTCTTTTTATTTGTTAAAATGCTTCTTCTATTGCTCAAAAAAGATCTCAATATACTGTAGGGTCGCTAGAATGATCAATAATTTAATGCTTAGCTTGAGAAGTAACAATTTTAAAGTAAAAATACTAAATAAACGATAAACCTAGAAGAACTCAACATTAGCTGAAAATCTCATTCCTAACAGGATGTCATTGTTGAATACAATTCCTAAGTCATTTATTATGAAATATTTAGCATACACAATGATTTCTTTAGTTCGTTTACAATAGAGCTTTACAAAACATATTCACTACAACATATTGTAGGGAGTGTGCCATGATTTGTTGCATGTATAATTCAAAGGGACCAGACAGACGCATTACTCAGTCATTCATTCAGTCAGTTCGTTAGTCACACTTTAATATGTAAAATTTCTCTTTTTGCTACTTGAATTTAATCATTCTGTATGTTCATCACTCACTCACTGACTCGCTCAGACAGTCAATCAATCTAACAAACAACAACAGCAACGACGACACAACAACAAATAAGAAAGAATGTTCCTTAGATTTTAGTTGTTGTTTGATTATGTGTATATTTGAACAATTTTCACCGTCTCAGTCGTTATTTACACCGTTAATAGCTTACATCGTCGTTTTTTAAAAGCAGCGCGCGCGAGTTTTACAGAAAAAAATTGTAAAAAATAATAAAAATAGAGTCTAAACTAAATGTCATTAGATACAGTGTTTACAACAACAATAAAAGCAAACATATATTTATTATAATAAAAAAAATAAATAAATATTATTAACAAATAAATAAAAAGCTGTAAATAATAATGATAAATCTATATAGACAAAGAAAAAGATCAGCAAGAAATAAGCAAAATGAAAATACATATTTGAATTTGTTATAAGATAAATAATAATAAATTCGTCGTTTGTCTATTATTCGTTATTAATTTATAGCATATGTACTTATATTCATACATACAAATATGCATAATTTAATATAATTTTTAAAGTGTTTTTGTAATTAAAGTCTTACAATTAAAATCACATGTTAAGCTCCTTGATTTGACGGCTTTACTGGCAACGGAAAAACATGTTGTAATCTTGTAATATGTTGAAACTGAGAGATACATACATACATATGTACATATACTTTGAGGAGGGTCGGTCAATTGTGTAAAATATAAGGAACAAAAAAAAAAAACGAACTTTTGTAAAGTAAAAATAATTTTTGTTTTATTTTTCTAACTCAAATGAGTGAAAATTAACAAAAGATATTATACCATTGGATTATGCTGAATCTTAATTTACCAACATGTGTGCGTTTTGTATTTGTATTTTTATTTATATTTATATTTTTGTCACAAAATAACAAATCACAGTTTTAAGGAAATCATTAGGGGTTGTCATAGAACGACAAAAATAATAAATTGGTTTCAGAAAATCAAATTTTATCGTTCTTTTGTTCAATAAATAACAGAAATCAAGATCGAACATAAAATCCATAAAAATGTATTTCGTTTCAAATCGAATTCTGATAATGGATTTAATTCTATGAAAAACCACGAATTATTTGAATTTTAAAATATTGTTTTTAAAATTTGTTTGGTTAAAATTGCAACTCTTTCATCTAAATATCTGTGACCAAATCATTGATTTTATTGATTTAGTGAAGAAACATCAAGAACAATTTTGAAATTTGATTATACCAATCGATAAAATAATATCCTATTCGGTTAAAAAATAGTATTCATCTTTTTGGATTATTGTGATCCGTTTAAGAGTTATGATGTTAATAATATTAATTTGTGGCTTAATAATTTTCCATTTAACAAAGCCGAATATGATGATGAAATTTTCGGATTTAATAAAACTCCACCAAGTTTATGTTTCCTAATTTCAGCTTTTGTGGTCTTCTTAATACGGCGTTCTAAAGTTAAAAATTTAAAACATCACGCCACAAAAAATGGCTCAATGCAATTTGAAAATCAAAAAAAGTTGTAAATTTTAATTGTATACAAAAGGGTACTTAAAATTTGGGTGGCTTAAGAGGACAAGGTAGAAAATATTTTGAAATTTCTTTATCATTTTCATATTTCCTACAAATTCGGAAAATATTAATACGCTATACATTTTTTTAATTTCTTGGATTATTCTAACATTTATGAATTCCAAACTTAAACTTTACGATACGTTCTGTCTATTCACGCGTAGTTTTATTTAAGGTTTATTTCAAATTATTCAAATTTCAAAACACTCCGATTTCTTTTAAGATGTTTTTCATAAATACATTTATGTAAACGTAAATCCATCCACTAAATTTTATGAGGATCACTCCATAGTAGCAATAAATTGCTAAATATATTGGAGTTAAGATACTCTTCAACTTAAATGCTTTATTACGAATAGTAAATTACATTTTATTCTCATATATGGTGTAGGGTATTATATGGTCCGCCTCGTTCGACTATTATTTATTATAGTTTGTTTTGAAAACAAAAAAAAAAAACATAATAATAAAAAAGTAAAAGATACGACTATACGATGCAGATTGTGAATTTTGTGTTTGAAAAGTGTTAAAAAATATATTTAGAATTTTTTGTTGCTGCTTCACGATATGTACATACTAATTTACAAATATTATTTATGTAAATAATACATGGCTTAGAAGTTCTTCATTGGTCTTTAATTTGTTGTAGAAATTCTCGTATAAACATAAACGATCGAACGGAAGTGTTTTAAATTCTACGCTTCGATGCGTTCGGTTTCGCCCTTGTTGTTGTTTAATTTTTATTATTTTATCATTAAATAATCTTTGTCTTTTAGTGTTTTATGATTGATTAATTTAATAATGCGCGCACGCTTACTTGCATTTTAATCAGTTTTAATAAAAATACTTTTTTTTGCATTTTTCAATTGATTATTGTATTTTCTGTTGTTATTCTAGCAATTTTAATTTTTCTTTTTTAAATAAATATGTTTGTTACTATAATTATCCATTTGATTATATATCTTGTATTTTCATGCATTGACGAATTTTTGATAAAAATCAATAATCAGCAGTGATACTGCTAATGGATTTTTGAAAACAATGTTGCGTTTTCTCATGAACAGACATAGTTTTCCAATGCATTAATAAATAGTTCCTAAATAAAATATGTACTTTATTAAAACATCAACAAACTTGGAAAACGGTGCAAAACTAAAATCAAAAATATGTTTTCTGCTTCTTTTCTCTAAATCCGTTGAGATCGGTTAAAATTCGACTAAGTTACTCACTTTTAAGAGCTTAAAGGTACGAAAAACCGGGGTTTGCCCATATCTTAAGATTTTGGAGGTGTTTGGCAAATTTCAAAACAGATTCTTATTCTACTCGCATCCACCTTTCAGAAAAATAGTATCATGTCCCAGAGTAGGAAAACTTTTATATTTGATTCTTTTCCATATAATAAATAATTGAAATTTAAAATGTTAGCATTATAGTTAGAAAAAGTATATGAAGTATGAAAAAATCTGGTCAAATATGTGACAAGAAAAATTAAAGATAGTTAAATTCTTGTAAATATCGCTGAAAATTCAGACCATTTAAATTTGATACCGAGAAAAAAACTTCATTGACAATATATACAATACCAAAATAGTCAAACAGATACAGATTCAATTTGACCAAAAAATAAAAGGTTAAGTTTATCAAAAGTATTACGGCGACAAACTATATTTAGGTACCATTCACGGTTTACTCGTTAGAATCTTCCAACAAAGATGCAAATAAATACGATTTGAATGTTGATCAAAATAATATTTTTATATGCTAGCAAAAAAGTGTAATCCAAAAATCTAACTTAAACAAATATTTTTACAGACTATTCGACTTCCAGCAGTTATCCCGGCTTTCGGGTAAATTCCACGTTAAACAGAATGGATACCGATGATGTTGAATCAACTTCAAGCAGTGCAATGTCTAAGATAGGAGCTCTATTTACTTTCACTTCACCAGCCGTTAAGAAATTACTCGGTTGGAAACAGGGCGATGAAGAGGAGAAATGGGCAGAAAAAGCAGTCGACAGTTTGGTAAAAAAATTAAAAAAAAGACAGGGAGCCATCGAAGAACTAGAAAGGGCGTTATCGTGTCCAGGGCAGCCATCAAAATGCGTGACTATACCCAGATCATTAGACGGAAGATTACAGGTTAGAACTTAACATTAAAAAAAGTTATTAATGTTGTTTTATGCATACTACTTTATATATTTATTAGGTTTCACATCGCAAAGGTCTGCCACATGTCATTTATTGTCGTGTCTGGCGCTGGCCTGATCTGCAGTCACATCATGAACTCAAACCATTAGAGATATGTCAATATCCCTTTAGTGCTAAACAGAAGGAAGTGTGCATTAATCCCTATCATTATAAACGGGTTGAGAGTCCCGTTTTACCACCCTGTATTAGTACCGCGTCACTCAGAATTTGCACCGGGCCATTCAATGTTACAGTTCAACAATATTGGCGAGTCGACAATGCCACACAATGTCAGCTATTCAACCGCCGGTTTTAACAATCACCTCAGTCCCAACAGCCCGCCTATGACATCGGTTGGCAGTCCTAGTTCTGTTAATTCCAATCCCAATTCACCATACAGTAGTATGGCTGAGACACCTCCCCCAGCCTACAGCCCTTCTGAGGATGGCAATTCAAATAATCCGAATGATGGTTCGCAAATGCTAGACGCTCCTATGGGCGATGTGGCCCAGGTTAGTTATCAAGAACCAGCATTTTGGGCTTCGATTGCGTACTATGAATTGAACTGTCGTGTGGGTGAAGTGTTTCATTGCAATAACAGTTCAGTGATCGTTGACGGTTTTACAAATCCTTCAAACAATTCGGATCGTTGCTGTTTGGGTCAGTTGAGTAACGTTAATCGCAACAGTACAATCGAGAACACCAGACGTCATATAGGTTTGTAAAATTTAAATATTTGTTTTTAATTAGGCTTTTAAATATGAAAAACAATTGTTTCTATGGATTATATAAGGAGTGCGCACGAAAAATTTGGTGCATGTGTTTATAGCAATAAAATTGAAACTAAGAAGTGAATCGGTTTAAATATACCATATATTATATAAATAATAACAGTTATGTTCAAATACATTACCAACAAACATATTAGAATTTTTGTTGATTTTATACCCATTTTTAACGTAAAATTAAATTTTGTTACAAAAACCAATTTTCGTTAGTTTTACAAATTCTTCATTATTAGACAAATTAAGAATACAATTAAAATTAAATTTGGCATAACATTGCTGAAGGTTGTGACGAATATAGAAACTATAATGACACCAATTAATTCTGCCCCTTAGTGTTAAAGTTATTAATTGAAATTAATGTAATAAAATAAAAATAAAATTTGCTCTTTCTCCCGAAGCAAATTTTTTTAAAGAGGAAAACTCTTAAAATAAACTATATTTAATTTTATTTTAATTAAATTAAAATAAATACAAATATTGTTTTCTTATTTTGATTTTTTTTTCTTTTATTTTTCTGTATTCGTTGCAGGAAAAGGTGTTCATCTCTATTATGTTACCGGCGAAGTTTATGCTGAATGTCTCTCGGATTCAGCTATATTTGTGCAATCACGCAACTGTAATTATCATCACGGCTTCCATCCTAGCACAGTGTGCAAAATACCACCAGGTTGTTCATTGAAAATATTCAATAATCAAGAATTTGCTCAACTACTATCACAATCCGTCAATAATGGCTTCGAGGCCGTTTATGAACTTACAAAAATGTGTACAATACGCATGTCATTTGTAAAGGGTTGGGGAGCGGAATACCATCGACAGGATGTGACTTCGACGCCATGCTGGATAGAAATCCATTTACATGGACCATTGCAATGGTTAGATAAAGTTCTTATACAAATGGGTTCACCACACAATGCAATTAGTTCGGTGTCGTAAAACTGTTGAACACGCTAATATACAGGAGTAATGACAAGAAAAAACAGCAACATGAAAGTTGTAAGCATATATGAAGAAGACGACAAACAGATGTTTTATTTTCATTTAATTTTAAGTAAGATTTATAGTGTTAAGCTAAGACAATTGAATTAATTATAAAATGAAACACAGCAAAAACAAATTGAAATAGACGATTATGTAGGTAGATGCGATGATAATGAGGAAGAAGATTGAAAAGCAGTTTAAAAGACCATCATTTCTATTTTTAGTATCCTTTTTTATATTTTCTTTATAATTTTGTTTTAAAAGCAACAAAAAGTAATGCCTCATATTAAAAAAAAACTCATAAATATTAAATTGTTTTTCATACAAATTATTGTATGCTTTAAAGATAAAAAATAAACAACAATAAAAATAGTTTCATCATTAAGAAATTCTTAACTAATTGATATACTTACAAATAATTTTGGTGAGTTTGGATTATTTGCATTTTTTTTAATTGTATTACTACTTTTTGTTAACGTCTGTGGTGGTATTACTTTTTTAAATATTTTTTAACCAGCCTTATTTGTGATTTTTTCATTATTATTTTATGTTGTCCTTGATTATACTTATATATTTTGTATTAAGAACTTTTGATTATCTTTTTAATGTTTTTATATTTGTTTTATGTGTTTAAAATATTCGTTAATTTTTTCTTAAATAAAATTATAAATTTGATTTTAAGGAAATAAAACAAGCAATTTAAAAATTTTAGTTAAAACATGTATTGGTTTCTTTGCAAATATAAATATATATGCGAGTATAATTATTTAAGAAAAAATAGTAAATCATATGTATGTTCAGATTTTATTTTGTTTAAAAATTTTTTTGTGCCTTTTTTATAAATATTTGTTTATACTTAATGTACTTATTCATTTATAACAATCAATATACCATACATAGTACGAAAAAATATTAAAAATTAAAAAAAAATTACTCCTTTCTTTTGCAATACTAAATCAATCACATACATACGTTTTTGTAGTTGTTGTTGCTACACAAACGTATTTTACTTTTACTCCTTTCTTTTGCAATACTAAATCAATCACATACATACGTTTAATTTGTATCGGTGACATTACTGCGTCGTAGTAATTTTTTTGAATCGAATTACGCTGCATCTAATGTTTGCCATAAGATAGATGCAAATATAAGAATATTTCAGTTTTAATATACTTCAAAGATTAATAAACACATCAAATTCTAATCAATAAAACGTGCAACAATTATGATCTTCCTTTAGTTTTTAAATTGTAGTTTATTATTTGAATATTTGGTTCGATTTGTTTTAATATTTGCAATAATTTTAATTTTACAATAAAATAAATAACGAAAGAAATTATGTATTTTAATAATAAATGTAATAGATCTTTCGATTTTTAAATATTGATTTTTCACAATATTTTACATACATATATTAAAGTAAATAAAAACAATTTTATCGTTTATAATTTTTATTTTAACTTTATTTTGCAAAAAAATTAAAATAACTTGCATAAAATAAAAATAACAAAATGTTTTGTATGAACAGATTTTAATTTGTACCTTAGCAAATATAAAAAGTTGCAGCATATTTGTTTTATAATTTCATATAAAAATGCCTATTACGAAAATTGCCTTATATAAGAGATATACATACATTCATACATACCCAGCAAAAAAGTGTGGAAAGAGATGTAGTATTTTCATCACAATTAGTAACCCAAAGTGCTTCAAATTAGGGTGAAAAACCTATGAATTTTTCATTAGCGTGTCATTTTTGACAACTTCGGACTACATCTATTCTTAAAAGCAGTAAAAATTCAGTATTTGGATGTCAAAAATAAACCGCATTCTATCAATGACACGCTGACATCTGAATTTGATGTACTTCGTATATGTTATTTGTAGTGACTTTTCTATAACTCTTTCCTCACTTTTAACTGGGTTTGCATTTGTAAGGAAATACTTGGTTTATAAAAGCGAAAAATATGTAATCGTATTTTTAGAAATAAGCAAAAAAGTGTGGGAAAAGATGTAGTATTTTCATAACAACTAGTAACCCGAAATACATAAAATTTTGGTGAAAAACCTATAAATTTTACATTAGTATGTCATTGAATGGATGTTGTTCATTTTTGACAACTTGGAACTACATCTAATCTTATTTTTAGAAGAAAAAAATCTGATATTTGGATGTCAAAAATAAACCACATACTTTCAATAACACGCTTATGTAAATTTCATTGGTTTTTCACCAAAATTTGATGTACTTCGAATATGTTATTTGTAGTGACTTTTCTACATCTTTTTTCCCACTTTTAACTAGGCCTTTTTGTAAGGAAACTTTTGGTTTATAAAAAACGGAAAAATATGTAATCGTATTTTTAGATGAGATTAAAATGTCGTTTGTAAAGTATGGCATCAATTATTTTTTGCTGGGTATTATTTACAACATAAAACTTTTAACTACTTTGAAAGACTAGCCTTAATAAAATGTGTATTTTTATAAAAATATATATTTAAGAAATAATTAATGAATTTGACAAATATTTTTATGTTAATAAATGTAAAATTTGAAGTTTTCAATATTATAATTCGGGTTAAAAAAATGTTTACTAATGTAAAATGTATTAACGAAAAAAAAAAAAACATCTACAAGTGTCTTGTTAAATACAATATGCCTTTTTATGCTTTTTATAATAAAATAATTTTTATTAAATGAAAATTTACTTTAGGAAAAATAAAAAACATTTAAAGTATTAATAATAAGGAAAATATATGTTTCTTTATTTGTTTTGTGTTTCGTTTTATTGAAAAACGAAAAACGGTAGTAAATCATCACATTTTCGACGTTTAAGAACATATTTTTTTTCAGCCAAAGTTTATGTCGGATACAATTTTTTTGGTGTCCATATTTATACAATTCGGGCGTTTGAAATTATATTTTAATTTTGAAGTAAAAATTACTTATTTTAAGAAAGAAATCTGGTCTGTATTAGGGATCTATAGTTGAAAAGAAAAGTCGACTTTTTGCATTTAGTTAAAAGTCGACTTTTTGCATTTTATAAATAGTCGACTTTTCGACTTTTTGCATTTTATAAATAGTCGACTTTTCGACTTTTTCCGATTTTTTCGACTATTTTTTAACATTTTTTCGAGTTTTTCTGACTATTTTAGAGTTTTTGACTTTTTTTCCACTTTTTTAAAATTTACTATTTTCGAGTTTTCGACTTTTTCCGACTTCGAATTTTTTCGGCTTTTATTTACAAACTCGACTTTTTTCATAGACGATACTCGAGTTATCGACTTTTTTGGAACAAAATAGTCGACTTCGACTTTTTTCGACAATAAGTCGATTGTTCGATTATTCGAAAGTCGATTTATAGAATCCTAGTCTGTATGGTATTTTTATTGTCACAAGTCGATATAAATGTTTTCAACTCCCAACTCTGATAATAAAATGCAACTTTTTTGACGTTTATGCTATTATCGACATAGCGTTTACGCTATTATCGACAACTTAATTGGTAAACAGCTGGTTGTCATTTGTGTTTTCGTTCATTGCTTTTCGGCAGTGTGTTTGGAATTTTGTGCAAATTGAGGATTTTTTTAGCAAAATGCCATCTCCCGTTAATGATCCACTGGTTTTGTTAACCAATAAAGGTGAACGTCAACCAAATTTCTTATCAACCATCTACAATCCATTAGCATGTGCTGCCGCAGGTTGTGGTTTGGCCATGATTTTGAATTGGGGCTTCCGTAGACCTGTGATGTCTGGTAAGTTTCAAGTGACGTAACATTTGGAAAATTAAAAAATGTTCATTCTTCCAATAATAACAATGCCGTATTAATTAAAATTTTGAAAAGGTATTCAAAAACATATTGCTTTGACCGCTGCTGGTGGTTTTGTGGGCACCTACCTTGATAAGAAACGCAATGAAGCTTTAGCCACCCGTGATGCCGTACTCAGACATTATGTGCAATTGCATCCAGAGGATTTCCCAGTAGTGGGTGAGTAAATTAAAATTTTTTGGATAAAAATGTATAGTTCTTCAATAATTTTTTACTTTTTGTTTACCTTTAAAATAGAACGTAAAAAGTATGCTGATGTTTTAGAAAAGTGGGTACCAATCCGTTAAAAAGCCACTGCCTTCTAAAAAGTTTTGCATTGCATTGGATGTGGTCGTCTATTAGCTTCTTTTATCGATAAGTTAAATTAATAAAGAATATCTTTTGTTAAAACCAAGAAATAAATATTTCTTCTCTGCCGGAATCGATATTAAAAAGGAGTTTGAAAAATGTAGTTAATTAAATCTTATAATTTTCTATTACAGATGATCTAAGTAATAATGCTTCATATCTATATCGTTACCAAAATAATATATAAACCAAAATACCGTTATAGTCATTAAAAGTGTTTTATGTTAAATTTCATAAGAGTTGATTCCATTATCATTTGTTAAGTCTTCATTACAGTTAAAAACACCATTTCAGATCAATACCGTTACTGACATACCGAATTATGTAGGTCTCAATACCTCAACTGCTATATTGCCACCATTTCAAAACGGTCGCCAACCTTGGAAAAAGAAAAGTAAATATGACGGTCATTTGCTGCAATAAGGTGAAAACTAAAAATTCGTCGTCTTGGATTAAATCTACAAATATGTACAGTGTCTCTCATAAGTATTCGAATTTATGTAAACTATGAAAAGAAACCAAATTTAATAATATATTTTGTGTGGAAAATAAATAAATTAATTTGTTATATTGTCTAGATAGTCCTTAGTTTTGATATCACGCCCCTTAAAAATTGGAAACTTTACATTTACTTAAATTAGTTGTGCTTTTTTAAAAAAAGTCCATGAAACTACTTCACAAAAGTATGCGAATTTTTCCTGTATTTCATATTTGATCATATTATACGATACACAAATTTTAGAATGGCATGGTTTTATGCTTAATATGGTTTTAAGGGGTTACTATCAACCGCATGGATATATTTTTGACCCATTTGGTCCACAATTTTGGGGGATTTGTACCCTCTTTTCATGTAATATCATTAAAATGGCGATTTTTGGCTATATTTGTAATGTTTTCACCCTTTTTCCAGAAATAAAATCAAAATTTAATATTGGAATTTAATAGAACCCATAGGGTATCTAAAAATAATATTTTTTGTTATAAGGATCTGTACTTAAACGTTCCAAGATGTATTTTTGGTATCGTTTTTCAGTTTCTAATTGAATTATCTGGATCATAAGTCCCTTTTCGTACCTCTAGGGACGATATTTTTCGACAAAGTTGTCTAGTGTATATTCATGTACATATTGGCACTAATGTATTTTAAATTTTCAATATATTATAGCGGTATACAACCCCAAAACATGCCTTAACAAAACGTCATCCTATATAGTAGATTTCAGTTTTTACTATTCGTAACTTTCACGCTTATGTTGCCCGTTACAATAACACTGTAAGTCCTAAATTTTGGTTTTAATTTGATCATAGTAAATAATATTTAAACACATATCAACATTTTTGATGTAATCATAATGATATCGTGCTATGCAGCATGGAGGCCATTGGTATATAAAAATAATGATTTTACTATTTTGAATGGTGTTTGTTCGAGGCATGTTTTGGAGTTGTACACTTCCACAACACATTGAAAACTTAAAATGTATAAAAGCTGATATCTAAAAGAATATATACCAGAAAACTTTCCCCGAAAATAGTTGATCCTAGTATTATAAAAATGGACTTAAGTTCCAATATATTGAATCAGCGAAAGAAGAATGATCCGAATAATTTATCTTGGAACGTTTAAATACAGATTCTTGTAACAAAAGATATTATTTTTAGATACCCCAAAGGGTCTTTTAAGTCCCAATATCAAATTTTTGTTTTATCTCTGGAAAAAAGGAGAAAAATTTACAATTATGGCCAAAAATCGCAATTTTAATGATAATACATGAAAAGAGGGTACAAATTCCGCAAAATTGTGGACCAAATGGGCCAAAAATATATCCTTTCCGTGGATAGTAACCCCTTAAAACAATATTACGCATAAAAACCATTCGATTCTAAAATTTGTGTTGCGTATAATATGATCAAATATGAAATACAGGAAAAATTCGTATACTTTTGTGAGGCAATTTCATGGACTTTTTATAAAAAAGCACAATTAATTTAAATCAATGCAAATTTTTCAAGTTTTAAAAAGCGTGATATCAAACATAAGGACTATCTATACAATATAACAAATTAATTTATTTATTTTGCACACAAAATATATTATTAAATTTGGTTTCTTTTTATAGTTTACCCAAATTCGAATAATTATGAGAGACACTGTATGTACCTTCACATACATATGTATGTATATTTTCTGTGGAAAGATGTTTATCCGTTAAAATTAAAAGGCAGTTTGCGTTTTAGATGACAATTAAAAAAAAACTTACAAAATGCAAAATTTAATTTTTTTTTTTTAAATTTTAAAAGATTATAACTTTAGATCCAGTCGTCTGATTTACATTTTTCTTTAATGTATAAAAATTTATGAAAGTAGTGAGACACTTTTTTTAAACTTATTCTAAAATCCATTTCTTTTTTATGTAATTCTTAAGACACCAGGTTCCTATATTATTTTTGAAATTGGAATATAATCTTAAGATTGATAAAATTTAATTTTAAACAAAATGTTATCAAACAAATACGTATGGTTGATTAAGAAAATCAAAAACATTACAGAAGCTCCTTTAGAAAAGTATACTCTATTCCCTGGACTCCAACATTTTAAAATTTTTGTCAGGCTATATTACTATTTACTTCATAATTTATTTTAGTATCCGTTGAATACAGGGCAAATAAAAGTATGTATTAGCTAAAACAGAAAAAACCCGGTTGAAAAACCGAGTCGATCACTCTAATATACATACATAGAACATAAAAAATAAGTAAAAATAATTATTTGATTTTTTAATAGCCTTTGTAAAAGTAATATGAGGAGTAAGATGATGTAAAACCAACATTAATTAGAATTTTCAAGTATGAAAGTTGATTACAAATAATTCAAAAATTAATTTTTTCACAATTAAATATTCAGTTAATTTTTCGAAAATATATGCAAAAAAGTGGTTTCAAAATTATTTTTTCACTTTTTCAAGAGAAGCAAAATGTGGAAGCGAGTAATGTTGTGAAAAAGTAGTATATATTTGAAAGAGGCGATACATTCTTAATTATTCTAATTATTAATTTCCTAATTAAATTTAAAGGTTAATAAATAAATATTAACTCCATCTTATTCAAAGACGTTGCCAACCAAAATTTTCTTAAGAAACAGAGTAGTTATTGGTTGCATTTTAAACATATCTGTTTAAAGTTCAAAACGCATGTCACTAGAAAGTACCGTTATATTTTCTCTTACACTTGTTGTTTTTGGTAAATATTGTATTTTAGACATTTCTGTTTTAAAGCTGTCATGAGTTTTTCTAGTTTAGTTGAGTTACGTGAGTTCAACATTAAACACGGTAAAATTGCAATAATAGATAGATACGGTCTTATTGAAAAAACTAATAAAAAATAAGTGGAGCATTTTTATATGCAAAGGAATTTGTCAAGCCTACACACAACCCCATAAAATTAGTGTAATGAAAAGAGAAGGCTTTATTAAAAGCAAAAAGCAAGTCATAAAGTGTGAAGAAAATGGAATATTATTGAATTACATACAGTTTTTTATATTTGTGAAAATTATTGAAGGAGGAGCATAAACTAAAAGAATTATCGAGTAGAAAATTCTATTGAAAACATAAAATTTAAAATTAAGTATTAGAATACTTATGGAATGCATAAGGAAATTTTATATGAAGTAAAAAATCGATAAAATACATTTCCTTCTCTTCAATATTGAGGTCTCACTTTATTAGAAAAAATCTGCTACTGCTGCCCCTCTCCTCTTTTCGTTCGTACATTTTTGCTCACAAAAACAATGTTAATAATGTAGATGAACATTGTCATGTACATCTTATTTGTGTGTTTTTGTTAGTGCGTTTGTATGTTAGTTACATTGTGTTTTTGTATGAACGTGTTATAATGGAATATAAATAATAAAAATTATATAAAAGAAAAAGGAGTAAAAATAATAAAAGTATTAAAAAAATCCATTGTATGTCTGTTTTGTGTTAACCGTTATTTAATAAGACGAAAAATAATAGAATTATAACCAATTAAAAAATGCAAAAACAATAAAAAAGAAGGTGAACTGCAGAGGTCTCTGGCTGAATAATTTATTGTACTCAATATTTTTTAAATGTTTGGTCAATTCCCTAAAACTTTAAAAGCGGAAATCGACTTTAAGACCATAAAACCAATTTGGAATGAAAAATAAAATTACATTCAGCCATTAACCAACAACAATAATAAAATTTCATCCCTGCTTTTGTTGTTGGTGTCATTTACATGTAAAAAAAAAAACACTTTGTTGTGTATCTTGTGTTTCTGTGTTGATTACCTACTCTTCTGGAAGGAATAAAACCAAACTAAGTGGAAACCAAAGCAATGGCTAAGGTAAGTTCCTATATACCTATATGATGCTCGCTCTATTGTATATTAGTCTTTTCCTGAACTTTGTTTTCTATGGATGTAATCCAATACATTTGTACATTAAGGTGGCCCAAAATAAAAGTTGCTGATATTACCGCGATAAATGAAAATTTTGTTCATTCTAAGATAACAACAAAGGATAAAAGTTCCTTTTTTGAGGTTTTTAATTTTTTTCATGTTTCACGCTAAGGTATGATATACAATTTTGATATCACGTGAAAGGCCTTTGAGAGGTGTGCCAAAAAATTTTGTGCTAGATCAAAAATAATTATTATCATTTCATAATTTTTCATACTAAATTTTATTTTTTTTAAAGTTGTACATACATAGATTTATTTAATGTAATTAACTGAAATTAATATATCGTAAACTTCATTTTAATTGATTTTTTCGAAACCAACGTGCAACTCAAATCATAGGTTAATAACGTAAATAACATTCAAAATGTTATTTACAAAGAAAATATATCCATTCCCTACTGGAAAAAGGAAAAGAAAAAGGTATTAAATGAACAAAGTTTTCATTAATAAAATGAGTACCTTATTTTTTTCTACATACAAACAGGGCCACCTTTATGTATGTATGTACATACCGATATACTATATACCGATAAATACACAAAAATTGAACATTTTTGGTCTAATAGAGTTTTTGGAGACATTTCCTATGTCTAGTCTAAATTTAAAACCAAAAAAGTAATTTTTGCGGTTTTAAGACGCACCTCATTTGATCCTTGGTACCATACAAAGTTTTTTTTTAGAAAACACTTAACATCCATAACTCACTCATAAGCCCGAGTATTATGATTAAATTTGGCATAAATAAGTTTTATATAGACATAAATCCCACAAGAAAAAATTTTGTTCATGTTCGGACCATATACCTATCACACCAGCAGCATGCTTGGACAATATTAAGTTTTTAGAAATCGTCGATTCGAATAATACAAAAATTTGCAAAGAACTGACCTATTTAATTACCGCAAGCATGAAACATATCAGTACATGATAAAAATTATCCATATTTTTATTTTGGATTTTATAGACAAACAAACTATTATTATTGCTCAAATAATTGTATTTGAATGAGCAAATTTCCCCATACACAGTACAAGCATGCTAGCACAATCACAAAATTATCAAATTAATTTTGATATCACACAATCAGATGACACAATCGCACCACAACCCCAAACACGTTCAATCGGCTTGCACAATCACTTGCTTGTGCCAGCATGCTGGTGTTGTGTATCCCTGCAGTTCGACAAAGAGTCAATGCATCCGAAAAAGACAGTGATTTCCACTAACTTCTAACCAAAGAATATACTTCTAACCAAACCATCTGGTTGGCTCTAATTCGTCTTTCGTCATGGATGTACTCTTTGTAAACGAGGGTGAAGATAATCGTCACTTTAGTGTCCCCTTTGTAAGCGAGAGAGGGGACACTTAAAAAGCACTTGTCTGCCTCATCGTAACCTACGGGGTGACGATTGACTTCCTCGTAGGACAAGCACATGTTAAAATAGCTAGTCACCTGGACAGTTGGTGGCTAAGTGTAACCCTATGTGGTAGGTTAAATAGGGAGTTCGGGACTGTCCGACCGAACTGCTGGGATGGGCCCCTTTACAATTATAAAGAAAAAGTAAGTACATATGTAGTCCCTTGGTGTATGAAGAAACACCTAAACACAGTTTCGTATATTTTTAAATGGACTTCAAAAACGTTTCCGTTTTTGTCACGTATGATTTTTATTTATTTATTTATTAAAAATTCATTGTAATATAAAAGTCCCACTGGACCAAAATAACTTATATTACGTAGACAAAAATACCTGAATATAATACATATTTACATGTGAAACTTATATAAAAGAAAATCCTATTCAATGCCACTTATAAATAATTATCGCTAATGGCTCCCCAACCATAAAATAAAATAAAATTATGTAAAAAAATGTCCCATCAATAGCAGCAAGATACACTTAAAATTCCATTAATCTAATTATTTCATTAAAGAGAATGTAATAATACTTCAATATTTTAATATTTTAAGCACATTCAGATAGAGCCCTCAAAGTATTTCAGGAGTTTCAGACGAAATACATTATTCGAATGTGAAAATGATTTTAACTCCACATTTTGGAAAACAAGGTTCCGAATGCATTCGAATGGTATGAATTTTTTTTCCATGTATAGGTCTCTCTGAATGACAAAATTATTTTTTAAATATTCATATTTCCACAAAATATATGCCACTATATGGGCGTACAAATGTCAAGCACAGTGGACAGTGAGACATTTTACACTTTTGGAACGACAATAATCAAATATTAGAGATATTGAGCTGTAATTTAGTAGCAGTTAGCACACAGTTTACCAAGTATTCCACATACAAATTAGCAAGATAAGACTGCTGCCATGCCAATTTTTTACAAGTACATATATATTAAATAAAAATAAAATTTTTGGTCAGAGATATTTCAAAACATTTGCTACCGATTTTCAACTTTTATATATTTTATTTATAAGAAAATTAAAAATGTTAATAAAACCCATTTTCCCTTTCAAACACCTTTTTAAAGTCAAGAGACTGTTCGGAACGCGTTAATGTTATCCCATTTTTTATAACCCCCCTAATGAATATTAGAGTAGTAACTTTTAGAAATTTTTCTTAAATTGGAAACATATTCGCAAATACATTGAATAGAACATTAACCAAAAATTCATACTCTTATTAAAATTTAAAATAAATGATAAATTCGGAAAATGTTATTAATGAAGCTATGATTCATGATTGACGTAAGTAATTGTTTTTGAACAACAGTAACTGTGGGCAATCACTATTATATTATTTATATTTTTTCTTTAGAGTGAAAAAATAAAAACTTTAAAATTGATCTTTTGTCTAAAAAAATTTGGCAGAATAATTCTGAATTATTAAATTGTAATATACCGAAAAAAACTATATAAATATTTGAAATATTTAGAAAAAATTAATATACCGCTTAAGGAATATTACAAGAAAATTATATTATTTTCAAAAGGAGCAACTTTGAACACCTATATATGTATAGAGTTAAAGGAACTTTGGTATATTTTTAGTTTTTTTTTTATTTACATTTTTTATTACAACCAATTCAATTGGAAAGCGTTTATTTTTTTATTTTTGTCGTTCTAAAAGCGCCAAATGTCTTACTGTGCAATGGTATCGAAATGTCCATATGTTGGTATAATGTATGTATGTATATTGAACATAAGAATCTATAAGTTTCCATGTACTTAGATGTGTGTATTGTTTTAACAGCCTCCTAATGAAACTAGTCCTTTTATTTTTACTTTTTTAAATAATAAAAAGACAAACATTCCAATTAGGAATCGTTTTTACAAACAAATAAATTTATTGCATGGAATTAACAATAGTAACCCATATTCGTCATATGATATACATACATATCGTCATATGAAATCCAAAAAGCCCTAAGTTCCAAAAACATCAAAATCGACTTTTTGATTGATTATGATGAAACGTATCAAAATACATGTTCCTGCTAAATTTTACACTCCTACAATTAAAATCAACGTCCCTATCAAATAAATTCTAAAATTACCTTAAAATTCATGAAAATTTTAAAATTCTTCTGAATTTTTAACTTCGAAACTGTGAAATGTTATAATTGTCATCAAATAAAACAAAAATGGAACTTTTAGCGAATCCTTGTAATTTAGAGATTATTTTAACAGTTTTAGAATTTTTTCAAAGAAAAATTCCAATTTCCGAAAATCTTTATGAAAACATGGAAGCCTAATGGCTTCCATGTTTCGGCCTATTTGACCAACAAAAACCGATTTGAATTTAGTTGAAAATGTTAAAACTTACTATTTTTTAATGCAACTTACGCCCTTTTGGGTTTCAGAAAAAACAAATTGTCAAGGGCGTAAGTTTCATATCTCCGTGAGTAAAACAAAAACCGAAAATTTTTCTTCAAATAATAATTTGTCAATAAGAAATAAGCTTAACTTGAGAAAATGTTGAATATTTTTGGTTTATTTGTCATTTTAGACGGTTTTTTGCTTCTCCTGAAAAATTTGTTCAAACTAACTTAGGGCTTTTTGGATTTCATGTGACGATATGTAAGTTACTTTGGGTTTTATTTTGCAAATAATTTATTTTGTTGGAATTGTTTTCCTGCACGTGATGTTTTTTTGATAGTTCCCAAAAATTTTCGAAAAGTTATTTTTTTTACTAAGGTAAATATTGGAACAAATGGTAAATGTTAAGGCTGTCAATTATTCGTGTTTTAAATTATTCGAATAAAAATTTACAATATTTTTTATTCGAGTTGTCGATTAAATTTGAAAAATTATTTGAACGAATGATAAATAGATGTTTTTATACGAATAACTTAATAAAACATAAATAAAACTGAAAAGAGACTCCGTTTTTCTGAAAGGTTCTTGAGAGAATTACAAGAATCAGTTCTTGAAAATCCAAAATCTTAAAGTAAGGGTAAAAGCGCTTTTCGTACATTAATGCACTTATAAATAACTTAGTTGAATTTCAACCGATTTTAAAAACTCAATGGATTTAAAGTGAAAAATATAGTTTTTATTGTTTCTTGGTGGACATTTAATTAAGTCATTTTGAAAAAATTAAAAAAAAAAATGATTAAAATTACATATTTTTATTTGGTGATAATTTCATCCTTTAGTACTTAGTAATACATCCCTTATAGTGAAGTTTGTCTCACAATGGAAAAAGCCAAAAACTGGCTCGGAATGATGTTAGATTACAATTCTCAAAAAATCTGTTTGAAGTTTTTTGCAATATAATTGACTTTTTATAAATCTCCTATTCTATGAAGATTTAATTGAGATCTCAGCTGAACCCCACTCTATCCCATAGTTTTATTCCTTCCCAGTATGTACTAGAAGCATGTTGTACGACATGTATTTGAGGGATGTTTTACAACAGAAATATACAACTGTTTATCATGTGGATTTATGATGGACTATATTATTGATCGTTATTTTGAAATAGACGAAATCAAAGATCATATAGTCAAGCGTTGAATCTGCTCGTTACTGCACATAAATTATTCAAATATCCTTTGTTGACCCTAGTGTAAAATTTGTTAAAGTATTATACCATTTTATGTGATTATTCAATGGATTTGTATCAACTAAGAGCATATAAATGCTATGTTTAAGAAATCATATTCCATGCCAAATATAAAAGCTAGCAGTAGTGTTTATATATATTTATTAACCTTGAAAAGGATATATGAAATAATTTCAAAATAATTGTAACTGAAAACAGCAGGGAAAACAGTGAAAGATGAACAAACAATACCAAAAAACTTAAAATAAAACAAAAAAAAAAAAAAAATTACGCAAACTCTACTGAGCGAATAACAAAAAACCCATTTGAATAATCATAATGATGATTGTAAAATTCATGATGTTCCAAATAGGTTCATTTTTACAAATATTTTATTACATTCAAGTCGGTTTAATTTTTTGCAAATGACTACAACATATACAAAAGCAACTTAATATTTTGCACAATTAAACATAATATTTATGTTTTGATTTGGAAAATCTCAGAGGTTTTCTAAATTATTTCACAATTGTACAGTATGAAAATCGAAAATATGAAATTCTGCTACTTTATTAAAGGTTTGGATCCCGCAGATATCTTGGGTCTTCAGAAAATTTATTTCAACATACACACAGACAGACGGACATGGCTTAATCGACTTTGCTATCTATAAGGATCCAGAATATACGGAATGATGAAGGGTATAAAAACAAAAAACTTTTAAATAAAGACACATTTTGGATTTATATGTACATATGTATGTATATTTAATATGGGGTATTATTTGAAAGGGGTTTTATAGCCGCATCTGAAATAACCATTTCCTTATAATTGCCATATTCCAAAAAATATGAAATTGTTAGGTCTTTTATTAAAATAAATAAAATTTATGGACACTGTTTGCTCACCCTTAAGCGCGGCTTCAAATGATACCACATATACATATTCTATCTTAAATATTTTGTTTAAACAAATCTGTAGAATTTAAGAAATAACTAAAAAGGCCCATTTTTTGTTACCGGTCCAGCTAGGGTTACCAGCCTGGCTGGACTTGGCTGGATTGTCCAGCTTTTTTGATGCTTGTTCAGTTTCAAGCTAAAATTTTATTTGTCCAGCTATATAGAATTTTTTTAGCACACTGCAATAATTTTTATGTTATCTTTGTCAAATCATGTTAGCCAACACTGATTGTACGTTTGTTATACAACTAAGTTATGATTTCCCTCTTCTATCATCATGTCTCAACACTTGAACAGCTGATGTCGTAATAAATATTAGGTCTGTTCGCGTACTCGATAATTTGTAACAATTTGCAATTTTTTGATTTTACTGGATATTTTTTCCCTAGTAAAAAATATCCAACTTATATTCACAACATATGTTTGTTTTATGAATATGTAAACAAACCAAAGAAATCGATAATTTGGTAAATTTTAAATTTTTTGAAAGAAATATATAAATTAATAACACACGAATATTAAAAAATTATTTGTAATTAGATTTATTTTAATTTTATTTATCATAAATTAGTTTTTAAAAGAGTTTATTTGTTGTGAAAAATCATAACAAATATTGTCAATCTGGCGTTTTTAAACCAATTTAGTTTGTCTTTCTCTTAGCGATTTTGTGTAAATTTTTATTTTAATAATATGTTTGTATCATAAAGTTTTAAAACAATAATATATTTTTAATGATACTACATATTTTGTTAACTTTAAATATCCATTTATTTATAAGAAAAATCAAAGTTTCAATTATTTGTTTTTTTTGAGATTTCAGCAAAAGGGCATTACTAATCTTTGTTTATAAACAAAAACTTGCACATTTTTTTAAAAAATTGGCTCTCTATCATAAAGTTACTGGATATTTCTTACAGGAAAGTACGCGAAAAGACATATTATTGCGAGCGATAGTCAATTTCTTTACGTACAGCTTACGTACTTATGATTTTTAAAATTTAAAACTTCAAAAATGGAGCTTTTTCACATCTTTTGCTATTAAAAACTAAGTTAACGAAGTGATCGGGGAAAACTAAAAATATATTCGTACTATATGGACTATAACAAAACGAAATTGGTATATGAGAACCCCTGCATTTTTTTGGTGTATCACTGTGAAATTATTTACACAAAACCAAAATTAACATTTTCTCGGTATTTTTTTATGTCCAGCTTTTTTTGTTTTGTTCAGCTTTTTAAAACCCGATGTCGAGCTTTTTGCGAATCGGAATCTGGCAACCCTAGGACCAGCTCACGAACGGCCATCGATAGACTTATAATATTTTGGAAACCATCATAAAACAAAAAATAAAGATTTTTAAGCTGGGTAAATTTTTGAATAGAATATATAAAATCGTGTCCCCCTTAGAATATTTTCTTGAAAACTGTCCAGCTCACGAATTTACAACACTAAACCCAAAATATTTTGAGTAACACCATATAAAATAACAACGAATATTTTGAGAGGGGTAACTCAAGCACCATTTTTTGTGAGTCGGTCTAATGTACATATTACAATATCGCAGCAAAAAAAGAACTTTCAAAGAAGCGAAAAAGAAGCAAAATTTACTCCATGGAAGTACTGAAAAAGAGATGAAGAAGTGATGATTTTAACACAGGCTTGTCATAGGAGGTATGTACTTTTTAATTGGTTTCAAATTTACTACTTCTGATGCCATTCTCAAGAAGAAATTTTTAAGCTCTTTTTTTAAAGTTATTTGGAAGTGAAATTGTAGCATTATAGAAAACAACTAACACAAATCCGTTGATATACTTAAAATCGGTTGAGATTCAACTAAGTTACTGACTTTTTTACCCGTATTTCAAGATTTTGGAGGTGTTTGGGAAATTTCAAAAACAGATTCTTATTCTACTCGTATCCACCTTTCAGAAAAATAGTATCACTTCCCAGGTATTTATTTTTGTCGCAGTGTAATTTGACTTAAATAATATTAACATTAATCAGGGTAAAAGACATTGAATACAAAAGACCAAAAATGAAATTTTTTAACTCATAAAAATGTAGGAACAAAAAATATATCTTCAGCATTGAAAAAAAAATATAATTATTTGTGCTTCTTCGAAAGTCATTAAACATCACTTCCACTGATGGTATAAAAATTCACTTAGTGCTACTTTTGAAGTGGTGATAAATGTTATTCTTTTAGAAGTACTTCGTTTTAATTTATATTATTGTGTATTCTTGGGTAGATGGTATTTAAAAAGGGTTATAAAGATACAAATAAATCCTATAAATTGATTTGAATAAATTGTATGTAATACAAATGTAACCCTCTGTTAAATGCTTCAATAAAACTTACAAATCATTGGAACTATGTTTATTTTAATGTAAAAGTTTGGCTTAATCATTTATATCAGTTAATCAGTCAGTCAATATGTACATTAGGGTAATGACTATTTTTGAAGACAATGTAATGTAACAAAATTGCAAAAGTGTTGCAGAAAATATTTATTTTGCTCATTAGAAAAAGTAATATTTATACAAAACTTCATCGCGTTCTCGCCATGATTTTTTTGTTTATGACCCAGAAATTATTTTTTTGAATTTTCGAACATAATGTAATCAAGTAGATTTATGACTATCAAGTTTAAGCAATTTCGATGTACGGGAACTGTATTTAACAGCTTTAAAAATTTTTCGAACATAAGTTCGAAAAAGTATTTTTTTTAATTTTTATAGCCCAGAAATTATTTTAAAAACAAAATATTTTTAGAACATTACTTCGAATTTTCGAACTTAACTTCAAATATTCGAACTCAATATTTTATTGTCACCAGGTGTACTCATCACTGTCAAATTTCAGAAATTTTGGTCCGCGGGTTAACTGCATTCAAAATTTTTCGAACATGTATTCTGTTTTTTTCGAGGTTTACTTTGAACTTTGGAATCTAATTTCGAATATTTGAGGCTTAAAAATAATTTTTTTGAGTATTTTTATTTAAAAAATGTTTTACCAACACTAAAGGGTTAGGTTAGGTTGATAGGAGGATGTATACTACATCAAATCCGAAGAAATACACCTAGGCCACTATCGGGCCTGTTGTGCACTCCTTATCATAAAAAAAGTTCACTGAATGAATTATTTTTCAGTGTTCAGAAACTCAGTTTCCTGAACGTAATTCCTAAGAATCTTCCAATCAGTGTTAGTCAGGAATGTTATTTCCGGAATAACATCACTTACAAGATACTTGGATCTAACTTCGACGAATGCTTAGCAGTGGCAAAGAAAGTGCTCCAGAGTCTCGAGTTAACAAAAAGTTAACTTGGTTTTTTATAACTCCGAGAGGGGTTACATGTTTACAACACTTCTTTCATATTTCTTTCAATATTTAAAAATATGTTTATGTGTATGTACATACATACATACATATATGTGTGAATAAACAATAAATAGTGTTTTTGTTACCCATCTCAAAATTTTCCTTGATTTATTTATAATAATTGCCAAAAAAAAACAAGAGCTGGACCGTTAAAATATTGTTTCCTGGGGATATTTTTAGAAAATGTTACAGATCACAAACGGTCAATACTAAACACAAAATATTTTGGGAAACATCATTTGGGATAACAACGTATATTTTGGGAAGGGTAACTTAAGCGAAATCTTTTATGACTCGGTATGTTTCTTTTATGAACCAAAATATCTTGTTTACCTATTGAAAAACCTATTTCCTTGCATGTGTGTTTAATAAGATTTTTTCTTTTGCAGGAACCAACATCAACACGTTTACCCATGCCAGGACTTTCACGTATACCTCTACCTGGTCTAATTCGCCCACCAACAGCTATTTCTTTGCCTAGAACTTCGCTATTAAGACCTCCAGCAACATTTGCCAAAACACGACCAATTTCTTATTCAGGTTTAAGGCCGCCGATACAGCAGGCCCTCACAATTAAGAAAAGTAGTTCAGGTGACCGTATAAACACGTTGAATAGTACAGTGAATATGGTGAGTAAGAAGACTACAACGGTTTTTAAAAAATTCTTTGCAAAAGCAGATCCCACACCAACAAAAAAAGATGAAACAGTAACTACAAAGTTGCAAAATGTAACTACTATACTAGATACTCCTCGACCAACGCTTACAAGGTCGGAAACATTTGTACGTACAGACAGTCCAGAAGACTTAATGGCTACACCAATGCCGGTCACTGGTGAACCAAAAAGAGGAGCTTTATGTGAAAGCACTCCGCTATTAAATACGAACACCAAACAATGCCTTTATATTACGCAAAGTTTGGACTCAACATATATTCCTAATTGTGAAGTGAACCAAGCACCAATGCAACGAAAACACACTTTAGAAAGTACACGTTTGTCGAATATAGGTTTCGGCAATACCATGGACATTGATTCACCTAGAAATAAAACACAAGTGGCCAATGCGGGGTTCGGCAATACAATTGATATAGATACGCAGAAAAATATAGCAAAGAAATTAGGTACGACCAAGAGCGGTGAGGATATTAATGATTGTACACAAACGTTTGATATACTTACTGAAAATAAAACCTTCAATAAAACTCACTCTATTAAGGAATTAGATAGACCTGATGCCACTCATAATATTAATGCTACTGATGTTTTGGGACGCACACTTTGTGTAATATCATCCCATGACGGCAATGCAAATGAAAATATCACTAAGACTTTGGATAGTACACAGCTTTTGGACAAACTTTCAAATGTAAACGTGACACAAACTATTGACGGTGGCGCCAGCACTAAGTTAATTGAATATACTGATATCCTTTCACCGGCAACAAATGCCACATATTCTAACCCAGGTTCCAGTGAAAATCTTCTAATGATCGATGATGTTTCCATACCTTCAGGCTTTGAAGAAGATGTTGCCATGGATGTTCAAAAACATTTAGAAAAATTAAGTCATCAACAATTTTTGGATATAACCACCGAAAATCTTGATGATACATTAAAGGCGCTGGCGCCCGATAAAGCAAACATGAAACTTCCTTTGAATTCAACCATGAATACCGAGCGTCTATTGGATATAACAGAACATATGACTACCCCGGCCAAGCACATGCAATTGCTCAATTTAACTAAAGATTATATGGATACGCCCAATATCAAAAATACCACTCAACTGCTCTACATGACACAAACTTCTACATCTTGTACTACTACACCAGATCGAAATGCTTGCAAGAAATATAATAATCCCATGTATCAATTAACACCTATTCCTGTTCATTTGCAGTCACCCATGTTACTGAAAGGTGCTAAAAGTGATTTGGTATTACCCATACGCACCCCAGATGAAGATGGCCAACAAGAAGCCATGGATATAGATATGACGCTAATATCGTCGGGAGGCAGGACAGATGCCTTTTATCAACAGACCGATATTTCTCAAACCACATCTTCTTTGCAAGACGTCAATAACCCCAACAAGAAAAGCCGTTTTTCATTCGGTTTGGATCTAACTGAGTCTACTTTGGATTGCTCCATAGAATTGGTTGATGTATCTTTGTCATCTCAAGCTATTAATTGTAGTCAAAATAGTACTCAAAATATGACACATTCAACCTCGACTCAACAAATGCAACAACAGTTTTTGAAAAAGCAAAACTCTTTTGATTTGGATGAAAGCTTGGGTATCTTAACTCCCGATCAAATGAAAGAATTCCTCGATTCTGCTGCCACAAATAATACCAATAATCTCGATTTACCGCTTTTGCTCAATAATTCAAATAATGTCAACAATCTTAGTCACAAATTTGTTCTGCAACAAATGCGCATAGACCAAACTCCCTCTCCCGAAGAGTTGCCTTTAGACCCAGTTGAAGTTAAGACCGACATCAATGATATGGTCTTGCAACATCAGCAGTTGCAATTGCATCAGCAGCAAAATTTGCAAGGTCAAATAACATTTTCCAACGAGGATCATCAGCAGCAATGTTTGGAATCATTGTCACTACATACTGACACCGAGCCCAGTAAAACGGAGACTATTAACAAGTCCATCTCATCCAGTGTTTCGAAGATTTCTACTAGTTTTATAACCAGTGTTACTAGTGTCACAAGCCTAGATACTGGTTATCAAGGTGATGGAGAAATGTCGAGGCCTGCTTCTAGAGGACCATGTGACCACTCACCCTCAAATGGCCCTATACGCAAAGGAGTGTCACGGCAGCCCAGTTTCCACCAGCAACAGGGAGTTGGAGGTCATTTACCGCCTGTCAGGCGACAAGATCCTATGACAGATTCGGATTTCTTTACTGAATCCGATGCAGATGATGTATTTCATCGAGGCGACCGTAGAGCCCAAGTAATTGACGGGCAACTCTATGGACCCATGTTACAACCAGCTGCCTCGGTATTTATTTCAGAAGATCCTCAAATGGAAGATTCCTGCATGGAGTCTTCAGGAATATTCACAGATGTTGAAAATCGTTGTGACGAGGATTTGGCCCAAATGCGCAGACAAGATACTCACGAGACAACTAATGATTTATCACCAGACAATGATCTAGATGGGGATGATTCAACTGAAACCGTGAGATCAAATCGCGAAAGTACAACCAAACGTTTTCAAACATTTTCTCAATGCAGCGAAAAGTCTACAGCAACCCCAGGGAGTGTTATGTCTACAACACATACTTCCACTGCTGTTCACGGTCAAGGCCATTTAACCAGTAGCCAAACATCATCCACAATACAAAGTAGTATGAGTACTGATCACCTCTTAGCTGATACACTCTCCAATCGTACCTCATACTGTAGTGTGGATGGTAGCAACGTCAATATTAATAGCATTGGTGTGGATTTTAAGAGTTTCTGTTCTCTTGATGAAGCTTTCGATGGGGAGCACAACAATAATAGCAACAACGACGATGACGACGTCAACACCGCATACAGGCCAGTTAAACTAACAAAAAGCTCAACGACTTCCACAACTTCGTGGTGTGAGCAACCATTGCAGAAACATTTAATGGCAGTACAAAATCAAACTTCGCCGCGTAAACACTCGTCGTTAACGTCGCTAACAACAGAAAACGGCGTGCACAATAAAACACCAACAACAAAACCAAATAACACAACAATATCGCCGTCGTTTGTAACACAAAGTCAAATATTAAAATCTCGCAAACATTCCGATCAAGATTCTTTACGTTCTGAAGCAGTTTCGGTATCCGGTACTGGTTCGAAATCTTCCCTCAACGAAAGTGTTAAATTATCTAAAACACCCACTTCATTAAGCGGAAAACACTCGCCCCGCTACAAATCGAATACACCGAAAAGTACCAAAGTACGTTCGTCGCCGAGTCAATCAAGTTCGAATAAAAATAGTTCACCTCCGGTAGTGCGTAAATACCATCATTCACCCAACAAATGGGATGCCGTTATGAATCAAATTGCTAGTAATAAATCAGTGATAAGAAAAAATTATAATGACGTTAAATCGAAAGTGTCCACTCGTATAACAACGACCACTGGTGCGGTCAGTGGTACAAGTACGGGTGGCGGAGGTGCTTCTGGCTCCTCAGCTAGTGTTTCGCCCACACAACGTAGATCACCTTTAAATAATTTAAGCATAAATCGTAATCTAAGTCCTAGTGTTAGTAAAGTGTCTAAAATAAGTAAATCGCCAGAGTCACCAGCAATATCATCATCAGTATCGTCAACTCATGCAACAACATTAAATAGTTCATCTCCAAAACGTCTACCACAAAATTCCCATATTAATCGGTAAGATTTTCCATATTTAGTAATTTTATATTAAGAAAATTTCAATAACTTTTGAAAACCCGAATTTCATTAATTTTATTTTTCGCTTTTTGTACCTTTTATCTGTTTCCGTTTTGATTTTAAAATTGCTTAATATAACAGCATAAAAGAACATCCAAAGAAGTGAAAAAGAAGTAGAATTTACTCCATGGAAGTACTGAAAAAAACCTGCAGAAGTGATGATTTTGTCATAGGAGGGATGTCCTTTTTATTTGATTCAAAAATCACTACTTCTTAAGTCTTTCAAGAAAAAGTTTTGACATTCTTTTTTATAAATTATTTGGAAGTGAAATTGTATTATTATAGAATACAATTAATTTGACTTGAACTTACCTTAACTTCCTAAGGTTCACAGACTCTTCTAAAATTTTAATCATCAATGTTAGTATTTCACCGCGAATTGTATCAAATATTTTAAAGTTTTTCACGTACACATGTATGTACATTAGAGTGTCTCGAGGAACAGCTTTTTTAAGAATTTCATGTAGAAATGCAAAAAAAATGTTTGAACATATTGTACTGAGATCAAGATTTTCAATCGCTGGTAGGGAACTGAAGACCTTTAAAAAATTGTTTTTTATTTTCGTCGTATTTAGTACGTTAAAACGCATCGTTTGATAGGTAAAAGTGGTCCACGGGACACCCTAATGTACATACATATATTGTTAAACAAATAAATGATAAGCTTTTTTATAAATAAATGTATACTATTCAATAACAAACTGAAATTCTCTATAAATTGCGAGTAAAAAGGGTTTTAAGAGGGGAATCGGGCAATTTGTTTCATCTATTGTGCAAGCAATTGATTCAAACAGCAGCTTAGATCACAGTTCGATTTAACCTGTTGCGACTAGTATATAATATAATGTTTTATTTCAATTGATACTATTGTTTTTGTTGTACTATTAGACTTTATTGTTAAAAAAAACATTAAAAATTCTCCAATCGATTAATGAGAATTAACTTTTCAATGAGAGGAAACGGTATGGAAAATCGCCGTGATCAAATGATGACATGGTAATGATAATGTAGACATGAAAAAATGTCTCATAAAGTTGGACCTCGTTAACATTTCAAGGCTAATGAACCATCACATAATTAAACTTTGGTTTTTGTTCTTGTTATTGTCATCAACTTTTCTATGTTGTTTCTGTTGTTCACAACAAATATCGTGTGTGAGAAAAACACCCAATCATGTTGTTGTTGGGAACGAAGGTATGTTTTTATGTACATACATATGTATATATGTAGATCTGTATTCTTTCTTGTGGCTTTGAAACCAGATTTTGCAATTGTATAATATAACAACAATCAATAACTACTTTTAAATATTAAATAAAATATTAAAATATTTTGCATAAATTGATTAAAATAAAAAAAAAACAAAGAATTTAAATGTGAGAGTTATTTAAAAATAAATAACAATTATTGAATATGAATGTATTTTGACGTAACCGACTAAATAAAAATTTTACAGGAGAGCATTTCTATAATAATAAACATTATTGGAAGAATCCATGTGAATGCGGACAGCAGACGGACTTAATATCTCTATTTTAATGAAGTTTACCAAAAATATAATATATACAATATGTATGTTAAAATTTCCTAAAAGTACACCCACATACTTGCCTATAACTCTGAAAGTACTAACGAAAGATAGCGAAATATATTGTCTATTGTATTAAAAATCATATAAAAAATTAAACAATAAGATGGTAAATTATGTATAAGGAAATTATTTCGGACGATAAAGCCTTACTGAAAATATATTTTGTTATCACACTGTTAAGATACAAGGTGAATAACACCGTGTTGGAAATAAACTCTTCGAATTTAATAATTTTTTAAAGCTTCCAGCATCTATAAATGAGATCAGATTTCGCTGGCCATAAACTTTTCGAATTCTAGAGAAAAAATTAAAGATAAATCCATATCGCAATACTAATTAAAGTTATGAGTTTAATAGGTACATATAATTAAAAATTAAGTAATGTGCAAAAGTTAAACAATTAAAGAGTATAGTAAAATAGTATAAGAAAAATTCAACTTCAGCTAAATCGGTCCTTATGTGCGAAGCTTCAACATTTTGTAGTTGAAGTGCTCTAATTTAACACCACGTGCCTAACCTTGTATGTTTACAGGTATATTACGTTTTCGTTAATAACTCCTGAAGAAATGCGTTTATGCGTCCTTATACCATGTCCATTTACAATTTTTGATCCAGACCTCATTAAAGGCCCTATTCTGAAAACAATCATGATGTGCTAATAAATCTAAATAAATCGGTAAATTCTGGTAGTATGGATCTGATTTAGTATCTATTCATAAAAATCTACAAAGTTCCTATACACGGCCGCCTTCCGTAATTAAAAGATTTACAATACAATATAAAAGTTGGCATTTCAACTACGTTTCCGCATTCAGTTACGCTACGATCGAAAATACGGAATCGTAAAAAACAGAAGCAATTCCATTTCATTTCAATGCTTTACGATTGCGTGTATTCTGCATTATGATCGTAACTACGTTTTTGTAAGTTTTTATTTCAGTGACGAAGCTTTGTGTCGAAATGCAGAATACCAAAGTTTCCAAACGGAGAAAATTTCGATTCGAATTGAAATGCGAAATGGGGGTGAATAAAAGTACGATTCAATTAGTAATTCGAATGAATTAGATTCCTAAAAAATATAGAAAATTATAAACTTCAGCACAAAAATTGCAATAGTGTTATGATAATAATAAGAATTTATAAACAATTATACTCAGACATTTGGCATTTCATACGTTAATTTGTTTAAAATTTTACAAAATTTAATACTATGAATAGATATATTTTTAAAGAAAATTTAGACATAACCGACACATTGGATTTTCAAAATTCATGTAATGTAGCCATGAATTAAAAGCAGACATCAAAGCAAGTTGTTTTAATTTAGTAAACACTCAAAAATAGATTAACAATCTTGCATAATTGAAAATACGTTTATTATATTATTATGAATTTAGAAAAACAAAATATTTGAAATTAAACTAAATAAAAGAAAATCAAACACTTAGTTGAAGCTACAAAAACAAATAACTGATTAAACGTAAAACACATGTTATCATTACAAAGAACCAAAAACAATAAAAAAATAAAACAACAAAACTTTTAAGTTGGTTAAAAGAAAACAACTACATACACGTTTTTAAACAATATACGATTACGTGGCATAGGGTAGGGAAATATAGGGGTGTGTGTTGTTATAGAAATTGTCTAGTAAACTCAGATAAAATAAATATAACATAACAGATAAAATGAAACTGCGAAGGCAATCTGAGAATTTAATATTTTTTTGTTAAAACCTCCGTTTATAGAGATTATGGAGGTTTCCTTTATATTTATATTGCAGCATGTATATTTATATTGTAACATACTAATGTTATTATTAATGGAATAGAAGTTATGTTATTAACTTATTATCTTAAGATAATTTCCGATTAAAAAAGTCTTGGTATAGAAATTTACCTACCAACAAAATAATTGGGTCTCACAGATTAAACTTATTCAGCAAACCTCGTACCTCGTACAATTGCAAGTTAAGGGATAAGGAAAAAAATAGACACGCGGACATACATATGTACATATGTATAAATAAACACTTTTTCAAGGTCATCCCTTTTTAGCTAAATATAAACAAAAAAATAAAGAAAACCACTTATAAATTAGAATGATTTTTGTTTCAAAAAATATTACAGTGTTAATCCATACTATTTAATTATATAGTATACGTCAATAAAACGAAATGTTTTTTAATAATTTACTCCCTAAAAGTACGAAACAGGTGTTTATTAGTTAAAAAGTCATAATGGGCCAAAAAAAAAGTACTACAATCAAATTTTTTACACATTTTCACCACATAAAAATACGAATTTCCAAAAAGTACAAGACTGTCTTCTCCTCCTTTTAATAGTACATATATACAGATGTATTTAATTTTTTGTGTAAGATAATTAAGAAAACCTGTTTTGCCAATTTTTTTCCTTTTTTACCCCTTACCCTCGTTAACATCACCTCCGGTTATCGTTTAACCGGTAGATATACTGCCGGTTAAAATAATTTTTGAATGAAAACTATCTCTTTAACCTTACGATTGAGATAATGGGAGTTAGTGGATCTACATAACCAAAATTACAATTGCTGGAAAAAATTCTTGTTTCTGATGAATTAGAGTGTCAGTCAGTAACGCGACTTTTTTAAATTAAAAAATCTATGGAAAATTTTTAAAATGTTAAATATTTTATAATTTTGAACTAGTTAGCACAAAAATTGATGATATGTCAAAGACCATTCATAAGATATCCAAAAGGATCTTTTTAGCCTTGGCCCAGCTCACCAAATATCAACCGCAGGATAAACATATTGACAAGCGGTATTTTAGAGCGAACTAAAGTTTAATTTTCGGTAGGAACATCAGACCCTTATTTCTTCTCCACATAAATGGGGCCATCCTAATGTACATACTTACCTGCAACAACGGCAAATACAATAATGTATTATTGGTAAATCTATGTTTTCGGTTTTTAACCACAAAATTAGAGTAATAAATATTTCACTTCAGCCTATTATTTGCCATTATTTGTTATTACTATTATTTGGAAACTCATACATTAGTTGATAAATTTGACGAAATCCATACACAATTATATTTTACATATCGTCACCTGAAATGTAAAAAGGCGTAACAATCAAAAATTTGAAAATCGACTTTTTGATTGAAAATGGTCCACTACATCGAAATACATGTTAGGATATAATAAAATGAAGAAAGATAAATTTTTATAACAACAATAGTTTTAATTTTATTTAGTTTTTTGTGTTTTCTGTCAAATTTTAAAAAGTGTTGTTACGCCCTTTTGCATTACAGGTGTCGATATGTATGTATTAGTGCTGTTAAAGTATTGAGTAGTGGGTATCG